TGTGTGTTATAAATAGTAAAAGTGCTTTGTGCAATGCAGATTCACCAAAGGATCCAGTCCTTCCGATGAAATTTTTTACACAACCTGAAAAGGTAATTTTCTTCCCCTTGTTTTTCCACCACACTAAACTGATTTAAATTTCACTTACCATCAACCCTAGTGGCAAATTTTGGATTATCTTGACTACAGAGTAAAAAATATCCTTGTGAATTTATCAAGGAATGGGAAATTGTCTTCTGAAGTCCTAACAGTATCATTCTCACATTACGAAGTAGGAGAATACAAATCAAGCTTGGTGCTGGTATTCTTCTGTGAGCTGTTGCTTCTGGATATTTCTAGTATGTAAGAGGAATTTTCAGATTTCTTAAATTATTTTAATAAAACAGTATTTTTGCAGACAAATAAAATGTTTGGTACAGTGTAAATATATATACATCTATATATGAAATAAAATGTTAGAATTAATGGAATTGGTCTTGGCAATTAATAGAACTGGATTCTAATCAACTAACTTCTAACTTGAAGGACTTGAGACAAGTTTACTTTTCTAAGCCTCAATTTCTTCATCTCTAAAATGCAGATGATAATACCTATGAACAATTACTAATATAATATCTAGGTTTATAAGAGTTTGTCACATAGTAAGCATACAATAAATGGTATTAATAATTAATACACAGCACGTTTATTCAGCTAAAGCAAATTAAGTTTTCTGTGTAAGTAAATTTTCCAGCTAACTAAAGCTCTTTATGTTTTTCCAGCTAATTTGGATTTAAAAACTTTATTTTAAAAAGTTATCTTTCAGGGGGCCAGCCCAGTGGCATAGTGGTTAAGTGCCTGCGCTCCGCTGCGGCAGCCCAGGGTTTGGATCCCGGGCCCGCACCTACGCACAGCTTGTCAAGCCATGCTGTGGTGGTATCTCATGTAGAGTGGAGGAAGATGGGCACGGATGTTAGCCCAGGGCCAGTCTTCCTCAGCAAAAAGAGGAGAATTGGCGACAGATGTTAGCTCAGGGCTAATCTTCCTCACAAAAAAATAAAAAGTTGTCTTTCGGACCAGCCCTGGTAGCCTAGTGGTTAAGTTCAGCATGCTCTGCTTCAGCAGCTGGGGTTCAGTTCCTGGGTGTGGATCTACACCATTTGTCAGTGGCCATCTGGCAATGGCCCACATACAAAATAGAGGAAGATTGGCAACAGATGTTAGCTCAGGGTGAATCTTCCTCAACAACAACAACAACAAAAGTCTTATTTATTTCCTGCTTTAAGGTGGCATTTTGAAGTTTAACTTTCCTGTGCTTTGTTTAAAAAATAGAATCCTTTGGGCCGGCCCCGTGGCTTAGTGGTTAAGTGAGCGCGCTCCGCTGCTGGCGACCCGGGTTCGGATCCCGGGCTCGCACTGACGCGCTGCTTCTCCAGCCATGCTGAGGCCGCGTCCCACATACAGCAACTAGAAGGATGTGCAGCTGTGACACGCAACTATCTACTGGGGCTTTGGGAGGAAAAAATAAATAAATAAAATCTTTAAACTTAACCTTAAAAAAAAAAAAAAAAAATAGAATCCTTAAATATTTTTAACTGGGAAAAATATGGCATTTAAAATTTTTTTATGCATTTTCAAACATGAAGATATGCTTCAGAGAATACCCCCCTTAGAGTATTTTATGGAAGAACATCCCAGGAAATGGAGCTTCCTAGTTTGAATGCCATACTTTGACACAAATTTTAATCATATTTTCTTCTTTTTTGTGAGGAAGATCAGCCCTGAGCTAACATCCATGCTAATCCTCCTCTTCTTGCTGAGGAAGACCAGCTCTGAGCGAACATCTATTGCCAATCCGCCTCCTTTTTTCCCCTAAAGCCCCAGTAGATAGTTGTATGTCATAGTTGCACATCCTTCTAGTTACTGTATGTGGGACGCAGCCGCAGCATGGCCAGAGAAGCCGTGCGTCAGTGCGCGCCCGGGATCCGAACCCGCGCCGCCAGTAGCGGAGCATGCGCACTTAACCGCTAAGCCACGGGGCCAGCCCTAATCATATTTTCTTTAAAGATTTAGTATTCAGCATTTACTGTGCCTGGTTGTTGATAAGAGGATTGCAAAGTTATTTGCCCTCTAATTGAATTTACTGGTCTTTATAAATATTCCTAAGTGAGCTCTTGAATTTAAATTTACTTTATTATTGACCCAGCACTGTCATGACTAGAAACATACCCAAATGGAATCTTCATACAATAGTGATCCCATCATAAAGAATTAAATTGCTCTTTGTTGCTACACCTAATTTTAATTGGTTTTTGTTTTGATATCTGAAACTTAGTGTTTTTAGCCTTCTTAATAACTTAGGTTTTTTTCTGTTTTCAATGAGCATCTTTCCTCATTTCCTTTTCTCTGATATGTTGCTTTTAATCTGGTATAAATTCAAACACTAGGCATATTAAGATTAAGCCCAGGCTTTGTAACATTTATTTTAGCTGCCTAAAAGGCTTTGTGCAAAATAATAATAATAATAATAATACAGCTTTGCCTAGAACACATGCTAGAAGTGTCATTTCTTTACAGACTCATTTAAGCCCTCTCTTCTCTCCTATGACACTAGTGTTAAGGTAAACTTAATAAAAGAAAAAATAAAAATTTTAAGTGAGTTTACTTAAAAATTGATGAACTTTTTTATTGTAGTAAATAATTTTGCTTCTGTGACACCATTTGTGTGCTATTTCCGGGATATTTAACAGTCATCAAAAGATCAAATTTGAACTCCTCTTAAGTTTTATGTAGATATAACTTTCAAAAAAGTACCATAAATGTCCACATTCAGTTTAATTCATTTATTAACTGGTTACTATCACTGCTGCCAAGGAACATTATAATTCACTTTATGGTATTTTGATGGTGTATTTACCTTTATAATTTGAATGGTGTATTTACCTTTATGATTTGGACAGTCTACTTATGGTTCTGAGAAACAAAAGAAATTTAAATTTTTAAATCTGAATTAAAATGACAGATTTTTTTTTCAGTGAGGATAATTTTCTTGAGATTCAGTGTGGAGTTCTTTTAGTGAATATTAAGTGCCTAATATAGGCATAGTATCATTTTGGATGCTTTGGGAGCCCAAAAGAAGTAGATTTTATAATAGAGTGGGGAAGAAGATAGTTCAGTGAATAAACTGGAGACTATTTGCCCTGAACCGTTTTAAAAAATAGGAATGTGTTTTATTTAAAATGTGATTGAAGTAATTTATCTCTGACATTTGTCTAAATCTTATATGCCATTGATTTAATTTTAAAGCTAGACTTATGGTATGGTTCATTAAATGTGCTTTGATTATTCGATGAATTTATATGTAAGCACAAATGTAATTTTTATTGTAAGGCACAATGCCTGAAGAGTTTTATTTGGACAATAAAAATACACATGTTCACTTTGATTTTTTTTTTTTTTTATAGGACTTCTGTAACGACAAGAGTTATATTTCAGAAGAGACAAGAGTACTTCTGTTAACAGGAAAGGTATTATGTACTAGATAATTTGAGAATCTTTATATCATGTTTATATTACTTTTGCCATTCCTAGAAATAACTTTTAAATGTCCCCCAGATTTTATAGTTCTTGATTCTTAGGGATCATGTTGCAGATTATAACATCTAAAGCAATTTGTTCTCTCAGGCTTTTTTTTTTTTTTTTCTGTGAACCACTCTTTTGAATTATGACCATATGTTCTCATCAGTACTGATTGGCTTCAAGTTATTTAGAATCCACAAAGCAGATTTTTCTGAAAAATGGTATAATAAATTTAGATGTGTAAGATAAAGAATTTTAAAGTATTAATGAGTTAGACAATTTATATTCTAGAAACTGGAAATGATACCTAAAAAAGCAGAAGGAAATTTAATTTTTGATAAACATTGTCTAAACTATTACTGTATACATTCAGTAGTTTATTTGTAAGACATTTTATGATGTCTTATTTATTATGTATTTCACTGTGTTTTAGGGGCACTTTTTATTTTGATTGAGCAATGAGGAATAATTAAAGATTGCCTAGTTATTATTAAGTAGAAGTGATGCTTATGACTTGTATTCAGGCAAACACAATTTTACAGAATTATCATTTCTGATAAATTTAGGATTTAACTTTCCAAAGTAATGATTCCTTGGCTTAGGCTAAACAATATCTCTTACATGTGTCTAAATTTATGTGTATTCCTTTGAGTAAGGTATAAAATAACATGTGTATGTGTGATTTTTAGCCAAAACCCGCTGGAGTACTAGGTGCAGTAAACAAACCTTTATCAGCAACCGGAAGGAAACCATATGTTAGAAGCACTGGAGCTGAGCCTGGAAGCAATCTTAATGTCAATTCAGAGCTGAACCCTTCAACCGGAAATCGATCAAGGCAATTGTTTTTGTTACTATCACTCACTACTTGGTTCATCTTTTAATTTTTTCCTGAAGCACTGTGTCACAAAAATGAACTTTAGGAAACGTTTGGTACAAAACAATAGTGCTGAATTTTAGTAGAATTAATGATGAAAATTGAGATTGTACTATACATTTTGAAACCATTTAGCATTCTAAGTGTATAGAAAACTTAAATGGAAAAAAATGTAAGAATTTATACTACATTATAACTAATTTACATGGGAGTGTGTAATATATGTATGTATATGTGAAAATTTAACACTTCAGAAAACTATGAAAATATAACTTTTTTTTTAATTTTATTTATTTATTTTTCCCCCAAAGCCCCAGCAGATAGTTGTATGTCAGAAAATATAACTTTTAAATTGAATTTATGTGCTTTTTAATTTTTAACTCAATCAAATTAGTATAGTATGAGTTGAATAAAGGTAATGTTGTTAAAGCATTTTCCACTTATAAAAATATTCCATGTTTAACATGTGAAGTGTTTACGATCTTAGCTACTACGTAAAAATTTCCACCTGACCCTGCTCTTATCAACACTAAATATTGAGGCTTTTAAAGGTTTTATTCTTGGGGCGGGCCCTGTGGCCTAGTGGTGAAGTGGTTTGGTTCCTGGGCGCAGACCTACACCACTTGTCAGCAGCCATGCTGTGGCGGTGACCCACATACAAAATAGAGGAAGATTGGCACAGATGTTAGCTCAGGGTGAATCTTCCTCAAGCAAAAAGAGGAAGATTGGCAACAGATGTTAGTTCAGGGCAAATCTTCCTCAGCACAAAAAAAAATCTTATTCTTACTCATTAAATTTTAAGAATAAATTCAACTAGTGGTGTTTTCAACACATTTTTAGCAGTACAACCCTGAAATGTAAAATAAATTAATGTGAAACATCTGTGGTTTACAGAGATGGTGGGGCACAAACACCTCTCCTGTGGCCTCTTCTTACAGCCCCCTTCCTTTGAAACGTTAAGAACATAGACTGGAGACAACTGTACTATACTCTCATCTATCGTTGTATTTTTGTCTTGTTTTAGAATTTCCCACCCTCAAGAGATAGGCTTAAAATAGTTGTGTTATTTTGTTTCTTGGCAACTCATCTTTCTGTCAGGTGGTTTTAAGCAGTCATCTGTGTTACATTAGTCAGGTTAAATGGAAATCAATAACATGATATAATAGAGCAATAGTCTATAACCACAGAAGATCTGACTCTTGCTAACGTTGCTTCACTTGGCCAGGCTTCTAAACTAGCCTCAGCCTTTCTTTACTTATTGGTATAGTGAGAGCAGACTTTTCTATTCATGTGGTGAAATAAAGAAGTTTTGGTTGATTTTTCTTCAGCAGGGAACAGAGTTCAGAGGCAGCAGAAACTGGAGTTAGTGAAAATGAAGAGAACCCTGTGAGAATTATTTCTGTCACACCTGTAAAGAATATTGACCCAGTAAAGAATAAGGTAAATTTTAAAATTTAGCAAGTGGATTTCTCTCATGGAGATTGTTATTACAATTTCATGTTAGGGTTAAGAAACTCACAGTCAACATGTTAATGTGTACTACCTATTATACATATGTGTACCACCCCTTGCTAAACTGTACTTCCACTCTCCAAAAATGATTCTGCCTACGTTCACTCACTTCATTTTACAAGAGTTTATGTGGTCATCCATAATAGTATCCTTCTCCCACACTACTCCCAACACATTGAAAGAATAGGAATTGAGAGTTTTTGAGATCTTACTTTGAAAAGTTCAGTGACTCCTGCCAGAGGTCAGCACTCTATTTTGTTTCTATTATATTTTTAAAAGTTAAACTTATGAGATAACCTTTTAAAATGTTTGAGTTTTTGTTTAATAGCTGCATTCTTTGTTGTTGATCTTCTAACTATGACACCCAATTTTCTTAACAATCGTTTGGCAGGGTAGAAAGAAGTATAACATTGGTAGGAGCATCAGACAGACGTGGGTCTGAATCCTGGCTCTGCTGTTCACTGGCTGTGTGTTTACTTGGGTAGATTGCTTGACTTCTCTAAGCTTCCATTCAACTGTAGATTGAAAATGATAACCTACCTCAGTAGCAGTGGCATGAAGATACTATTATTTCTTTTCCTACAGAATCATTTTCAACTTATCCTTTTATTGCCCATCATATATTTACTGTATTCATCAAATGTTTTAGGAATTACCCTCAGTTACATAAAATATAGACATTATACAGTTATTCCACAGTTAGCTGAACTTTTCCTATCCAAACTTATCTGAACCTAAACTGAATAGATAAGGATATATTCTTAGATCAGTCTCTCACTATCCAAACTCTTGCTGTTTGCTATCTGAACTCTTCAGTGTGTCAGTAGATTCCGATAACAGGGAATCTCTCACTGTCAAACTCTTAGAATTCAGAAACCAATAGATTTGAATATTGTGGGATCCTTGTATAGAATTAAACAGTCTTGATGTAAAATGCATATTGCCGCAGACATTCAGTTAAACATACTTGTAATACGGATTAAGAGCTGGTACAGGGGGCTGGCCCAGTGGCGTAGCAGTTAAGTTGGTGCACTCCGCTTCAATGATCCAGGATTCGCAGGTTCCAGTCCCAGGCGTGGACCGACGCACTGCTTGTCAAGCCATGCTGTGGCGGGGTCCCATATAAAGTAGAGGAAGATGGGCACAGATTTTAGCCCAGGGCCAATCTTCCTCAGCAAAAAAGAGGAGGATTGGTGGCAGATGTTAGCTCAGGGCTAGTCTTCCTCACCCAAAAAAAAAAAGAGATGGTATAGAGATATAAATGTTTATCTAGTACAAACAGATATCTATATAACCTTTCCAGCCTCTACTATAAAATTCTGTATAAGTTAAACATTTAAATTCTAATTTCTGAGAGGCCAAAATGTTAGTTTCTGATTGATCCATATTATATTGTTCCAGACCCTCATTTTAACTTTTTTCACACTTCTGAAGACTGGTTTAACAACTCTGCTGTAGCCTGAAGAGACGGGTTGTATTTTGGCAAAAGCCCGATAGCTTCCCAGTCAGGTCTCCCATAAGTTGATATGGTCATTTCGTTCCAGGATCTGGTTCTCAGTCTTGTAGGCTAAAACTATCTTGTTAGTATACTAAAAGAAGGTAAAGATCTAAGGGAGTGTTTCTTGCTAACCAGTTTCTCAAAGAGATTGATGCATAAACCAATTTATTAGTTATGTATATAAAAATTATTCAGCAAACTGGATATACATTTTACAAATCAGCACATTCTCTCCTATTAAAAGAAGAACCAAGATATATACATCCCGTAGATTCAGGCAAATGATACTGCCAATGTGGTTCTTTAGGAGTCTTATTTTTGTTTGTACCTGTAGCTGTCCAACTGATTTCCTCTTCATTTGACTTTTACATGAGTTCTTTATACATATGCACAGGTATATAATGTTCATAAATGTGTAAATATGATCATGTGCATGATTTTTAATGCAGTCTTTTTCATTTTAAACAGCCTAATCTGTATGTGTTCATTTTTTCCTCTACAGTCTTATCACTTTCACGTGTATACACATAAATACTTTCTTCTCCCTTTTTTGCCACTACAAACAATGTTGCATTAAATATTCTTTATAGATTTTATTTCTATGGGCTAAGTTCCTAGTAGTGAAATTGCTGGGTCAAAGGGTAAATGTATTACAGATTTTAGGTATTTCCGTATTGCTTTCTTGAAAAATTGGAACACTTGACATTTCTACCAGCAGCGTATGTGAGTACTTTTTACTCTACATACCCACCAACGATAGGGTTTTTAGGTCCTTTGAAATTTTTTCAGTCTCAAGTATCAAAATTAATGCCCCACTATTGTTTTAATTTGTATTTCTCTGACTACCAGAATTTTTGTTGACCACTTGGATGCGTTCTTCTGTGAATTGCCAGTTCATATTTGCCTAATTTGAAATGATCTTTTTTTTTTTGTCTAACTCCATTTCTGGTGCTGTACTAGTTTTACCTCTTGTTAACATTCTTGCTCCATTCCAATCCAATCACCATATAGCAGCCAATTTGATCTTTTTAAAACGTAATTTGGGGGGCCAACCTGGTGGCGTAGTGGTTAACTTCACATACTCCTCTTCAGCGGCCCAGGGTTCATGGATTCAGATCCTGGGCGTGGACCTACACCACTCATCAAGCCATGCTGTGGCAGCAACCCACATACAAAATGAAGAAGACTGGCACAGATGTTAGCTCGGGGACCATCTTCCTCACCAAAAAAATATATATAATTTGGATTAAGTTTGTCCTCTATTTAAAGTCCTTCACTGACTTTCATTTTGTTCACTTAGAATAAAATCAGATTTCTTAACATGTCCTATAAGGCATTCACGATCTGGCCCATGCCTGCTTCTCCTGCGTTATCTTATACCATTCTCCTATCACTCCTTATGGAGCAAGTTCCTTAAATCTTGCAAGCTCTTTCCCTCTCAGGTACTTGATGCTGCCTCTTTCCTCTGTCTAGAATGCTTCACTTTTCATGTGATAGGTCCTGCTTTGATATTGTTTAAATAATATTCCCCAAAAGAACCAATTGGAAATTGATGCTTCCTCTGATTTTTTTCAGAATGCCGTGTTCTTTAATATCTTAGCAGTGATGGTAATTTGTACGTAAATGTTTGTTTACTTTTTAAAAATTAGTCACCTACATACTAAGCTACATAAGGACAAGAACAATTTCAGTTTTGTTCTCGAATCTGTGCCCAGCAGCCTCTATACCTACTAGGCATTCAGTTAAATGAATGATTCCTACTTCAGGTTTAATAATACTTGTGCGTTTTATTGACCCATCTTGTTTTGCTTGGGAATCACCATCTTTCCCCAGGGTGACTTTGTATCTCTTTTCTCTGATCCATTTTGTATTGTTTTACAGTTTAATTCTTGTGGACCACCTTACTCTTGTTCCTTTATTATGTATTATCCATTCTCTTAAAATGAGGATTAACATTAAAGTAAACCTTAAAATGAAACACTGATTTGAAAAGTAGATTTTCTCACTTATATTTACTACTTTCATGAGTTTTTGTTTAAGTAGATTTTCTTGAAACATGAAGATTTATAATTTTTTCCCCAGTCATTCTGAAAAGATTTTCTGAGGGAAATGAAAATTAATTAATTAATTGAAGAGGTATAGTCTAATTTTTTGGATGATGATAGTCATCCTTTCTTTCCCTTTAATCAATTAAAATTTTATCAGTTAAAATTATAATTGCTTCCTAAATATCATTCCTATAAAGATCACTTTCATTCTGAAACTTTTTACAAATTTTACAAATTTGTAAATACTCCCTGTGCACTTTTTACAAATATTTTTACAAATTTTACAAATTTGTTTTTTACAAATACTCTTTTTTTCTGATCTATCCTCCCCGTTTGTTTTTTCTTTTTTTCAGTTATTTTATTGAAGTCATACTGGTTTATAACATGTAATTTCAGGTGTACATTATTATTTATCAGTTTCTGCATAGACTGCATTGTGCTCACCACCAATAGTCTAATTTTTATTCATCACCATATGTATGTGCCCCTTTACCCCTTTCGCCCAACCCCCTTCTCCTCTGGTAACCACTAATCTGTTCACTTTATCCATGTGTGTGTTTATCTTCCACATATGAGTGAAATCCTACGGTGTTTGTCTTTCTCATTTGGCTTATTTCGCTTAACATACTACCCTCAAGGTCCATCCATTTTGTCAAAAATGGCCGGATTTCATCGTTTCTTATGGCTGAGTAGTATTCCATTGTGTATATATACCACATCCTCTTTATCTCTTCATCCCTTGGTGGGCACTTAGGTTGCTTCCAAGTCTTGGCTATTGTGCATAATGCTGCAGTGAACATAGGGGTGCATTTATCTTTATGCATTCATGTTTTCATGTTCTTTGAATAAATACCCAGCAGTGGAATAGGTGGATCATATGGTAGTTCTATTCTTAATTTTTCAAGGAATCTCCATACTGTTTTCCATAGTGGCTGCACCAGTTTGCACTCCCACCAGCAGTGTATGTGAGTTCCTGTCTCTCCACATCCTCTCCAACACTTGTTTCCCATCTTGTTAATTATAGCCATTCTCATGGGAGTGAGGTGATATCTCATTGTAGTTTTGCTTTTATTTCCCTGATAATTAGTGATGTTGAACATCTTTTCATATGCCTGTTGACCATCTATATATCTTCTTTGGAAAAATGTTTGTTCATATCCTCTGCCCATTTTTTGATTGGGTTTGTTTTTTTGTTGTTGAGGTGTATAAATTCTTTATATATTTTGGAGATTAACCCTGTGTCGGATATATGATTTGCAAATATTTTCTCCCAGTTGTTGGGTTGTTTTTTTGTTTTGTTCATGATTTCTTTTGCCTTGCAGAAGCTCTTTAGTCTGATGTAGTCTCATTTGTTTATTTTTTCTTTTGTTTCCCATGCCTGAGTAGACAGGTATTCAAAAAGATGCTAAGACTAATATCAAAGAGTGTACTGCCTATATTTTCTTCTAGGAGTTTTATGGTTTCAGGTCTTACATTCAAGTCTTTAATCCATTTTGAGTTAATTTTTGTGTATGGTGTACGATAATGGTCTACTTTCATTTTTTTGCATGTGGCTGTCCAGTTTTCCCAGCACCATTTATTGAAGAGACTTTCCTTTCACCATTGTATGTTCTTAGCTCCTTTGTTGAAGATTAGCTGTCCATAGATGTGTGGTTTTATTTCTGGGCTTTCAGTTCTGTTCCATTGATTCTTGTGTCTGTTTTTGTGCCAGTGCCGTGCTGTTTTGATTACTATAGCTTTGTAATATATTTTGAAGTCAGGGATTGTGATGCCTCCAGCTTTGTTCTTTTTTCTCAGGATTGCTTTTGCTATTTGGGGTCTTTTGTTGTTCCATATAAATTTTAGGATTCTTTGTTCTATTTCTGTGAAGAAGGTCATTGGGCTTCTGATTGAGAGTGCATTGAATCTGTAGATTGCTTTAGGTAATATGGATATCTGGTCTAGTTTTTCATTTAAGTCCACTATTTCATTGTTGGCTCTCTGTCTATATGATGTAGGTGGGGTGTTGAGGTCCCCTACTATCATTGTATTGCTGTTAATTTCTCCCTTTAGATCTGTTAATAGTTGCTTTATATGCTTTGGTGCTCCTGTGTTAGGAGCATATATATTCATAAGTGTTATGTCATCTTGGTGGACTGTCCCTTTTATCATTATATACTGCCCCTCTTTGTCTCTCACTGCCTTTTTTATCTTGAAGTCTGCTTTGTCTGCCAAAAGTATGGCAACACCTGTTTTCTTTTGCTTGCTATTTCCTTGGAGTATTGTCTTCCATCCCTTCACACTGAGCCTGTGTTTGTCTTTAGAGCTGAGGTGTGTTTCCTGGAGGCAGCGTATTGTTGGGTCTTGTTTTTTAATCCATCCAGCCACTCTCTGTCTTTTGATTGGAGGATTTAATCCATTTACATTTAGAGTGATTATTGATATATGAGGGCTTAATACTGCCATTTTACCTCTTGTTTTCTGGTTGTTCTATATTTCCCTTGTTTCTATTCCCTTGTATTTCTGACTGCCATTTCAGTTTTGTGGTTTTCTCAGTTTTCTTTTTAATTATGATTTGTGGCTCTGCTCTGACTTTTTGTTTAGTGGTTACTATGAGGTTTGTATAAAAGATCTCATAGATGAGATAGTCCATTTTCTGATAGCCTCTGATCTCCTATAGCCTAAGCAGGTTCCATTCCTTTCCTCTTCCCCATCTAAGTTATTGTTGTCACAAATTATTGTTTTGTGTTGTGAGTTTGTGATTAAAATGAAATGTGTTGTGAGTTTGTGATTAAAATGAAATATTTATAGTTATTTTTGATGCTTTCCTTCCCTTTATCTTTTATGTTATAATTGTTTGCTAACCTGTTCTGATAGCTGCAATTTTCTGATTTTTTTCTGTCTGTTTATCTCCTTGCTTAAGGCTTTGTAAACCTTTGCCTTCTTGTTTCAGGTATGAGGGCATCCTTCATCATTTCTTGTAAGGGAGATCTAGTGGCAATGAACTCCGTCAGTTTTTGTTTATCTGGGAAAGTTTTTATTTTTCCATCGTATCTGAAGGATAGTTTTGCTGGATAGAGTATTCTTGGCTGAGTTTTTGTCTTTCAGTATTTTGAATATATCATTTCAATCCTTCCTAGACTGTAAGGTACCTGCTGAGAAATCCACTGAAAGCCTGATAGGGGTTCCTTTGTAGATTATTCTCCCTTGCCTTGCTGCCCTTAGTATTTTTTGTCATTGCCTCTTGCCAGTTTTACTATTATATTCCTTGGAGCAGGTCTTTTTGCATTGATGTAATTAGGAGTTCTATTGGCTTCTTATACTTGTAAGTCCAGTTCCTTCCCTAGGGTTGGGAAGTTCTTAGCTATTATTTCTTTGAACAAGCTCTCTGCTCCTTTCTTCCCCTCTTCTCCTTCTGGAATACCTATAATCCTTATGTTGCATTTCCTAATTGAATCAGATATTTCTCGAAGAATTTCTTCATTTTTTTTAAGTCTTAGTTCTCTCTCCTCCTCCACCTGAAGCATTTCTTTGTATCTGTCCTCTAACTTACTAATTCTGTCCTCCATAACATCAGCTCTGTTTTTTTAAGGTTTCTAGATTGTGTTTTATCTCATTGATTGTGTTGTTCATCTGCAGAATTTGTTTGGTTTTTTTTTTTTTTTAGAGTTTCAGTCTCTGGTGAAGAATTCCTTCTGCTGATTAATTTTATTCTTGAGTTCATTGACCTGTCTTTCTGAGTTTTCTTGTACCTTGTTGAGTTCCTTTATGACAACTATTTTGAATTCTCTGTCATTTAGATTATAAATTTCTGTGACTTCAGAATTGATTTCTGGAGACTTATCATTTCTTTCTGCTCTGGAGTGTTAATGTAGTTCTTCATGGTGTTTGATGAAGTGATCCTTTGCCAGCACATAGTGGTAGTATCCAGTCACAGATTCCACCTGCCACCCCTGGGGGATGTTGGGGGCAGGAGCTGTGTTTTCTGAACCCGCCATGTCTGCTGGAGGTTGTGCCAATAGGGCTCATCTGCGTTCGCCCACTGGCCGTGCTTGCTTGATGGGTCACACACACACACACGCACTCACAGGCACTCTGGTGTAGATCCACTGCCTTGGCCAGGGACCGGCCGAGCTGGTGTACTAGGCAGGGGTGAGGGGGTGGCTTTCTTTTGCGCATGCACGGGCCCACTCTGCATTCACAGGCAGTTCACCTGGACTGCTGCGCTTGGTGGGGGTGCCCATACAGTGGCTGAGCCATGCCACTCAGTGTGGAGTGTTCCCGTGGGCCGGGTTGCCACTCTGAATGCAAAAGCATTCACGTGTAGGCCTGCCTGCTCTCCACCTCCTCTTACAGTAGCGCACTAGCTTCCGTGTGAGGACCTGCAACCTAGATTGCTGCCACTGGGGTTGGTGGGGGGGATCCATTCACCCCCTTCCACTGCTTCCGGGGAATCCTGTACCCCCACCTTCAGATGTATGGCTGCGTGGATCTCTCAGACATCCTACTGTGCTTTGTAGGGAATCCTCTGTTGGTTAATGAATGTCCATTTGGTTGTACCTTAGCAGGGGAGAGACTAAGGGAACAGCTCACTCTGCCATGATGCTGACATCACTATTCCTACTGCCTGTGCCTTTTAATAAGCATTTATTGAGTACATTATATATGCCAAGCACTATGGTAGGTACCCTGCTCAGTTCCTACCCTCAAGGAGTAAACATTCTTAATGGGACGTAAGCAGTTAACTAGAAGCCCTGAAATCCCAACTCCTTTAAAATACTTTCAGAATACTTCTTTCTAGTACAAATCATTGATATTTAAGGAATTTGTGTTTATAGAATTGTTTTGTGCTCTTTCAGGAGATTAATTCTGATCAGGCTACCCAGGGCAACATCAGCAGTGACCGAGGAAAGAAAAGAACAGTAACAGCAGCTGGTGCAGAGAATATCCAACAAAAAACAGATGAGAAAGTAGATGAATCAGGACCACCTGCTCCTTCAAAACCCAGGAGAGGACGTCGACCCAAGTCTGAATCTCAGGGCAATGCAACCAAAAATGATGATATAAATAAACCTCTTAGCAAGGGAAGAAAGAGAGCCCTGGTTGGTCAGGAAAGCCCTGGGGGTTTGGAAGCAGGTAATGCCAAAGCACCCAAACTGCAAGACATAGCCAAAAAGGCAGCACCAGCAGAGAGACAAATTGACTTACAAAGGTAATGTACACCATTCTTCCTGAGCTTTGAATTTAGACATTTTATTTTATTCTTAGTATGTGCCAAACACCCAGGCTTTTGGGAGTCAAAACTGCCCTTGGTTTTCCTGAGTGGGTTATAATGTCCTTTGTATTTAGCTCATAATCTCCAGGACACCAATTTGAAGAGAGATCTCCTTTTTTCTTTGGTTAATTTTTAATTTAGGATATGGTATTTTGCTATTTCTATTTCTTAGTGAGGACAATGTTATCTTTTGCTTGATGTCCTTCACATAGTTGCATGGGATTTACTTAATATAAAAGGTTACCTTTTGAATACAAAGGTCCCAGAATGGAGAGGATGGAAGTCATGACACACAAACCAGTATACCCTGTTCTTTAATTCCTCTTGTTACAGTTAATTTTAATATAAGTCAGCAACTTACCTCTCCCCCACCCTCCCCAATGAAATAACCTCACAGCCGCTCATCTTTATCATTCTTGGGCTGGGATTTCAGATTTTCCGCACTGTAACAGTGGTGCCCCAGTTGGAGATCTAGAAGTTGGCTCCGTCCAAACTTGGCCTACAATTAGAACTTAGCCCTACCTGCCTTCTTTTTCCCTTACATACCTATACCTAACTCATCTTCCCCTGAATTAGACTGTAAGTATCTGAGTTCCTTCTAGGAAAGAGCCAGCTTTGATCCTCTCAGGATACCCCCACCACCCTCCTTCAGTATTTTTATAACGTACAGTGTTGCTGAAGCATGTGTGTTTGTAAGTACATTTTTTAAATTACCATTTATGAAATTCTAAAGTTTGAGGCTATTAAATTTTCTTATATTTTAAATGTCTCTGGGTACCTTTTACAACCTCTCATGGCAGCAGATTCAGGCCCAAACCTGATCTAAGTAATGGTTGTTTCTCCTACTCACTTCTAGTTTTATTGACTAATAAGTGTAGTAATGAAAGCCAATATTGGGGACAAATTTATTACTTTTCTCTTCAAACCTGGACCTTTGACATGAAAGAGTATTTTCAACCTGGGCCTCCTGTTCTTCATCAGTAAGACAGTATGATAATACCTTCTTTAAAGGATTATTCTTAGAATTAAATGGATCAATAAATATAAAGCACTTAACAAAGTGCCTTGCACAGAATATATGCTCAATAATTGTTATATGCTCAGATCATTGTTTTGAATTTTCATTGTTTTACCCCTTAATACACTTTTCAGTTATACAAAAGTTCAGCAGTTTCCTTAGAAATTTCCAGAATTCTCTAAAGGGTTTCTACAATTCTATTCTAGCCATTCCTTACCTGTACAAAATAGTACCAATCATCACACAGGCCACCTGAGCCACCTAACCTTACCTCTTATTAGCTGTCCTTTTGCCATCTAACCAAAATGTCCAGGTACGTACTTGGACCCTGACAATGTTTTCAGTAGCAACCAGATTTTGTCTCTGAGTTAGGGCATTGTAAAACCCATTGCTTTACTTGTAGCTACATCATATGCCTAAACATCACTAAACAAACGGAAAAAAATGGCTTATATGCCAGAGACTGGTTTTGATTAAAAATGTCATTGGGCCTTCTTTAAAATCTTAAAATATCTCTTTTAAGAGTGAAAAAGTGCCTTAGAAGTCTTAAGAGTACCAGTTAGTAGATCAGTGGGCAGTACGGTATCCGAAGTTCAGAATTCTGTGATAATTTTATATTCTCAGTGAAGGTAGATGGTTAAATTAGATGTTCATGATAACATTGTACTGTGTTGATTCACTAGAATAGAATAGATCAAACTTCTGATTGAATGGTTGATTACTAATTCATGATTAACAAAACAAAGAAGTACATTCTAAAGCTTTCTCCCAGGCTTCCTTTTGTCTTTTCCATTCTTTCCTAAAGCTAATATATGACTCTGCCCTTAAATTCTAGCATTGTGACTTAGGCTTGGAATCCTGATGAACTTATTCAGTGAAACCTAACTTACTACAAAAACGCTGTATTGCTCATGATATCCTCTTGCATAGAATTGAATGCATTGTAGGCACATCTGTGTTGCTCCTTGTACTTTTCATTCGTTCTTTTAACAAATCTTTAACTGATTAGAGTGCCAGGCATTGTGCTGGGTGTTGGGAATACAAAAGTATCCAAAATGGATAGGTTCTTGCCCTCAAAGAGTATACTTCCCCAGTTTGTTGAGGCCAGAAGAGAGCAGAAAACTTTCACTTTAGGTCTGTTGATTGATACAGTAACAATATAAGAATTATTTTTAAAATTTCTACATAAAACAGAATGGAATTCTGACACGTGCTACAACATGCATGAACTTTAAGACATTTTGCTAAGTGAAATAAGTCAGATCCAAAATGGCAAATACTGTGTGATTCTACTTATATGAGGCACCTAGAGTAGTCAGATTCATAGAGACAGAACATAGAATGGTGGTTGCCAGGGCAGGGAGAGGAGGGAATAGGCATTAGTGTTTAATGGGTACAGAGTTTCAGTTTGGGAAGATGAAAATGTTCTAGAGATGAGTGGTGGTAACTGCACAACAGTGTGAATGTACTTAATGCCACTGAACTGTGTACTTAAAAATGGTTAAAATGGTAAATTTTAAGTTGTATATATTTTATTACAATTTTTAAAGTTGCTACATAAGAATAATAATAGCTAACATTAATATAGTGCTTATTATGAGCCAGGCTCAATTCTAAGCTCTTTGTTAACCTATTAAATCCTTAAAACATCTGTCATTATCACCACCTTACAAAGAGGAGGAAACCCAGGCATAGAGAGTTCATGTAGCCCTTGGTCCCTTTGCTTCATTAAATAGTGGAGCCAGGATTAAACCCTGGCAATGTCACTCCAGAGTTTGTAACCACCATACTCTATTGTACTTTCAAGGTAAAATTATGTCTGAATTCTACAGGCACTACATGCACACAAAAGTGGTATAACAGAGGATGCTTTAAAAATACTTACTTGCATATTGTAAATAGCTAATGTAGTTCATATATATAATAGTTTCCATAAAGTGGAATATATTTGCATACAGTTAATTTTTATAACTATTACGTAAAAAGCTGGTTTATTTAAAATAGTCACAGGTTAAACCAAACAGACCAACTGTAGTCTTCTTTTTAGCATCTTTCAGAGTACATGCAAACAAAAGCCCCTCCCTGCATTTTAGCATCAGAGAGGAAAAAACCAAGAGAGAGATCAGATGTTCTTGAAAGTGGCAAGCAAAGTAAATGAAGCACCTAGCACTAAGAACTTGGTCATACTGTGGTGAAAATTAGGTAGAATGATGTGTGGAAGATGTTTGGCGTGGTGCTTGGCATATGTATTAGTGGAAATAATAGTGATACTAGGGAAAGGTTGTTGAACGTATATTTGCCTTGCCAACAATTATTATGAAGCAAGTATAACCCTGTGTTAGAGATGAGGCGATTAGACCTGAAAAGATTACTTTCTCAGGTCACCTGGCCAGTAATACACAGAGCAGGGCTTCGAATCCAGGTGCATCCCTTGTACTGCTAACAGTGGTAGCTGCAGTTAACATTTCTCCTCTAACTTAAGCAGTATTTTAAAACATTTTCAAACTATGAACATTCAGAATTCTATTATTTGTTTGTTTTTTCTCTTAATGTGTAAAAGGAGATGTTTTAATGTGTAGTTACCACCAAAAGATAGAATAGACAGACACACTAAAACTAAAGTTCCTTGTTTGTCACTCAGCTAATGTTTTAACTATCCCTCAACTTGAGGAGAAAACGTTGAATGTTGAAAATTCTGAAGGTGCCAGCTTTATTTTTATTTCATGTGGAACTGTAGCTTCCACCTCCTACAGGATTCTAAACAAACTTTTCATTAACTGCAAGTATTACCTGTGATTGGTTTGATCTCCCACCTGTATTTTCCTGAGATCTGGTGAGGATCGGATACACGTTAAAGTCACAGGATTGAACAATTCTGAATATAGAGCTAATATCACTCTTTGAATCATCCTGTTAAGATTACCATTACAGGGCCGGCCCCGTGGCTTGGTGGTTAAGTGCACGCGCTCTGCTGCTGGCGGCCTGGGTTTGGATCCCGGGCGCTCACCGACGCACCGCTTCTCCGGCCATGCTGAGGCCACATCCCACATACAGCAACTAGAAGGATGTGCAACTATGACATACAACTATCTACTGGGGCTTTGGGGAGAAAAAGGGAAAGAAAAAAGGAGGAGGACTGGCAATAGATGTTAGCTCAGAGCCAGTCTTCCTCGGCAAAAAGAGGAGGATTAGCATGGATGTTAGCTCAGGGCTGATCTTCCTCACAAAAAAAGAAAAAGAAAAGATTACCATTACAGTTTCAACTAGCGAACTAGTAAAAGAAGAAATAGGGTTGCCAAACCTGAGAGCCATCAGACACCACATCTGTGAGCTAAGGATGAACCCAGAGTGATAGAATCAGTTCACCTATTGCCCTGGCAACTCAAAGCATAGCCTGGGTACCTTGCCTTGTGGAGTCAGATCTGAATTGCTGCACTAAAGTAGTTTACCCCTGGATTTTAAGTTTGAATGCAAGACTTTGATAAATAAGGCCCAGCACCCTGGTTCTTCTCTATGGCCCTGCTGTCTAGCTCCAGATCTCACTTCGTCTTGTCCTTTGACCTTGCATTATTCTTCACACCTTTCACATCTTAATTTCTCAATTCCCAGATGGTCAGTTCCTGCTCTGGTCACAACTGTCTCCACAGTAACATCTGAAAAGAGCCTCCTCCTGACATTATGCTAATCTTTACTCCATGTATTCTGTTGGTCTTAGTACAGGATCTCCTTAAGGTAGCCAGTCTACACCTTATGCTAGCATCACCTCTGGAAAACTCAACCAATTTTATTACTTAGTATTTATATTATTATCATATTTTGTATGATTTATTTACATTTCATTATTAATTAATGAAAACCATTTTCTTTAATAGATGTTCTATTCCCCCCCTCCCCCAAAGCCCCAGTAGATAGTTGTATGTCATAGCTGCACATCCTTCTAGTTGCTGTATGTGGGACTCGGCCTCAGGATGGACGGAGAAGTGGTGCCTCGGTGTGCGCCCGGGATCCGAACCCGGGCCACCAGCAGCGGAGCGCGCACACTTAACTGCTAAGCCACGGGGCTGGCCCTGAAACCCATTTTTGAGGCCCAAATATATGCCAACCACAGTCTAGATGCTTTATATTTATTACCTCTTTTAATTCTTGAGCCCTCTTAGGTAGGACTCTTGATAAATGGTAGCCTTTAAAGCCATTTTAATACCACAACCATCGCTTATAATGTGCGGCAAGTGCTAACCCCTTTAGAATTCCTCTTATTGACAACATTAGGTAAATAATAATTAGATTTAGTATGATTCCTACTTACATAATTTATTTGCTAATTTAAGGGTGGATACTTTATTCCACCAAAACATGGATAGTATGTACAAATTTACTGGCATAGATTTTACTTCTTAATCTGGGAGTTGATGCTGAGCGTTTTAACTTGTAAACTTAATTGTAAAATTGTTAGATGCCTTTGTGTTTTTGCAGTATAAGTATTCCTTCAGCTGTTTACTGTGTGTGTGTGTGTGTGTGATCCAATAAATGTTCCTGTTGATATTTTGAGCTGCATTTGAAATTGTTACTTTTGAGAAAATTCCTTGAGTTCCCCCTCTACATTTATAAAAATCAGCCATTTGTATACTAAGGTCAGAAAACAGTATATGAACAACTGGACAATTAATGTTAGCTTTCTGAGTTCGGGGTAAAAGGTTGATCATTATTTCAGTTGTTAAGTTCACTTGTTTTTCCTTTATGTTTTTGAGCTATTATCCAAATGGCAAACAATTCCAAACATTTTACCTTGAAAATGTACTTTTATAGGTCTGCTGATCCTTGAGTATGTTTTGCTTACACTTAAGGTCAACTTCTTCTGCGAAAAAGAGATTATCATAAACATCAGTGGAGAAACAGTCCTTAAACTTGGGACTTATTTAAAGAAATTATCTATAGGATAATAGACTATAGTTTTCCCGTCTTTGGATTAATATGTTTTGCTTAGCATGCTTAGTATTGTGAGAATGTTAAGAATCTTGAAATTTCTATTTTTTTAAGCAAAGAATTTCCTGATTTCCTGTGCTTATTTGTATATTGAGAAAGTTTCCTCACATCACATGGGTTCATATCTTAAAGTAACCCCTAAGTGTGTATCCTCATGTGTTAAACAACCGTATATTAGTTTGATGTGAATATTCTTTCAGTAACAAGTGAATTTTTATGAAAATAATATGAAATTTTTCAGAAGCCAAGTGCTCGGAAGTGATGGCGATTCACTTTGGGACATAGAATCAAGTCCAGGAAATTCTTCCAGTGATCTGGATCGTTTAAAAGTCTGTGAGAGCAGCCAGGAAGATACTGAGGACTCAGAGCTAGTAAAGGGAAGCATCCTGAAGGTGCAGCAGGCAGCTTGTAGAGGATTCTTTGATATCATATTATTAAATGTTTTGTATATTATAACAAGCTAATTTAATTGTCTCTGTAAGAATCTTAATCACCTAGCTTTTTTTTAGCGTTGTTATCTTTATGAAATGTATATGTAGTGTTGGGGTTTGGGAATATAAGTAAACGAGTCCCTTATCTTTCTCTACCAAGTTTGGAATTGTTGAGAAGGAGAGACAGTCTTAATATTGATATGGCTGATTAAAAATATGGAGGAATACTAATGCCTTGCCCCTAAATTGAACAACCGCAGGCCCACCAGAATGCACCTTTTGGGGGCAAAAGAGAACAAATCTAGAAGAAGCCAAGCACAGCATACTCAGTTTCTGCCTGACCCCACCCATGAAGGAGTGGTTCTTCCCACTCCCTCATGCTTCCAGAGGTCAGAATTTCCCTCCCTACCAGGGAAATGGGACCAGTGGGGGATTCCTCTAACCTCTTAACAGAATTAATCTAAATTTTCCTCCTTGTTTGTTTAGTGTACTAAAATGTATTTGTTTACCCAGTTCAGGAGTCATAACTTATTTTGCTGCTTATAGATTTATTTTGCCATAGTGTCCAGTAATTTTTCTTCTATAATATCATTTTAGAAGTATTAATAAAGATTACAATTATTTCAAGTAAATAGCTTTTATTGTTTTATTGTTGGAAGCAAATCAGGCATTGGGTAGCAGCACTTAATGGTTGAAAATAAAAACATCTTCATTAGTATTTTGTTTTTATATACTTTAAGGAAAGATTCCTTAAACCAAGTAAAATCTCAGGTGAAAAATGAAAAAAAATATTTTCAGATTTTAGATAATAACTAGAGAAATGAAATAATTCTGGTTTGGCTTATTTTCCTGTTTACATCTTTTCTAACTTTGCTTTCTTCTATTCCTATCCCCAAGGTAAAAAGAAAACTCATTTGCAAAGGGAGAAAATGAAGGCCATACAGAAGCAGGCTCCAGCTTCTGTAAAAACTTGGATTCAAAAGGTCCCTGAACAGAAATGAAGTTAACTTCAGAACACACACTTTCTGCCTTGAAAACTGAAAGAAACTATTACTTCCTTTTCACATGACCACAAGTCCTTTGATGGAAATGTACAGCAGAAACTCTTGAGAGAGTTGCTAAAAGCAACTCTATTCTACCCTCCCCGCCCCAGACTTTTCTTATGAAAAGTCAATAATTAAGCAAATTGCTTAACACTTGGTTCCAGTTCCTGCATATCTGGAGTTTAAAGGCATAATACACCATTAATTTCCATGCTGCAGTTTTTATTTTAAAGAAAGTAACAAGATGTCCTTACACTGACACTGAAAATTCATCAATTTTAGAGCCAGGAATTCCCGTTGTTACACAAGGAAAAAATAGAAATCTACTGAATTAATTTTTTAGAAGAAAAGAGATCAGATTAAATATTTCTTTGTTTTTCCTTTTGGAAACTTTTATGTATAATTCTTTCTGCCTGCCTACTTTTCTGCAAAAATGAGATGTACAGATTTCAGTTTCCTGCTATGAAAAGTGATGTGGTGGCAATTTTATAAATGTTGCTTTCTGATTTTTATCAGAGTGAGAAAATAATTAAAATTATTATTGATTTCATATCACTTCATATTTTGATTTCCCCTCCATTTTAGTTTAATATAATTTGCAATAAATGTACATATTGTTTGTTTCATAAAGCATATCACTTTAAAATGGTTTTTACTTCTGTGATTATGTTGGAATATTTGGAATTTTAAAGGAGTAAAGACTGTCCAGCATTTGGTTTTATAATGTTTGTCACCAGATTTTTATTATTGATGTAAAAAAACAGTCAATTTTTTTAAGTAGTTGGACTTTGGCAGCTCTGTAAGGAAAGTTGGAGGTGTTTAGAATTGCTATCAGTTTCAGCATTGTGCTATTGGGAAATAAGTGTTTTGCTTTTGTCTGCCGGTCTGGGCTCAGTTTTTATGTTTATTTTAGAAGACAACTGTTGCATCGATATATTGTTTCTTGGCATTGTTCAGCATAGGTAATGTGTGCACTTTTTGTGTACACATAATCATATTTAAGTTTTTTGCATAAAATAAATGCTTCTAGATGTCATATGGTAGTCTTTTAATCTTTTTATCATATTTTGTGAATGTTTTTTTATGTGAAAGGGCTAATGTCATAAACAACATGATTACAGTCAACTCTCCATTATCTATATAAAATAGTGACTATGCCTCAGGTTTTTAATTTTGCAGTAATCATAAACTTAAAATAATGAAGTCATACTGCAGGAGCTAATTCAGGAGGAACTTGGATTTGTCCTTTCTCATGCTCAGAGTTACAGCCTGCCCCCATTTTCCACTTTAGGCTCTTTCCCCAAAGCCCTAGCTGAATGTTCTCACTCAGTTTCCTAACGTATACCTAGCCTGGGTTAGAGGACATAAACAACATTTGCATTATAACTTGGTCTTGATAGGCTGTAGTCTACATGGGATGTAAAACAAACGGTAAATGTGAGCTGTGTCAAGAAAGGATGATTATGTTAAATGTGAAAATTTGTTGGTAGTAAATGTCACTTATGTTCTCATAGATAATCAAGAGTTGGCTGTATATTGACTGAGTGAAAGATGAGTAATTCTTTTAAATATGCATATACACACATTTAAGTATCAGATGATGGTTAGGGAACAATGGATACCAGTGATAGAAAACAATATCTTTTGAAAGGGCATAAAAAGCCCTACTCTTCCGTATTGCCTCTTCATAACCCTTTAGAAGGAAAGTATAAAAAAAATTGCCTCCAACATGCTGAAAAAGAATAACTATGCATAAGCATCAGAGAAGTCCCTCAAGCAATCAGTGGGCATGTTCTATTTAGAAAGATTTTTAAAGTTCTCTTAGCATCAGACAACTTGACTCTTAAGGGCACCAATTAGTCACCAATAAAAAGCACACCGGTAGGGAACTTCTTTCTCTCTTAACTCCTTTTGATTAATTACTCAGCATCACAGCTGATAGATGACCTAGTGTTAAGTCATATTTAACATTATGTAGCAGAACCATTTGCATCAGTTTATGGCTGCTTAGATTTTTGCAGGAGAGGACTTAGCTGAAAGGATCTGGTCTGCATACACACGTAAATGGCCCACTCATGATTTTGTAAGGTGAAGCAAGTGTCTGGTACTAAGGGAAGGGAGAGTAGGATGATAAAAAGATGGAGCTGATGGGGAGGGACTTGTTTAAGGGAAATTTTTCAGTTTTCCTTTGAAAAAGGAAAAAGTAAAATCCCTTAGGAATTTGGTATTCACATCTCAGAGAAATACAACACAAAGTGCAGACTTATATTTGAGAATTAATGTTAACCCTTTGTGTCTAGTTTGAAGCTTCTTGTATTTGTCTAAAACTACAAGCCAGAATTTTGTATCTCCTTTGATAAAAAGTGTGTATAATGTAAAGTAGTTTTGCATATTGTGCTGCACATGGGCTGAATTTTTAAAAATTTTTTAAAGACTTGAAGCAGAACCTTGTAATTTGTGTAAATGACAAGTGTAAAATCCTACCATAAAATGCTAAAAATATGCATTGTTTCAAATAAAACCAAGAAATGCAGCATTATATAGTAGTGTGGAGCCCTGAATATTCCTGTACCCTCTGGTATGTCAAGCTGATAAAATGTCTTTGCTTATTTTGTGTTTAGATTCTGGAGTCTGCATATCCTTATAGAAATCAAATGACACCTTCAAACTTCCTAGCTACGTACTCTGATCTGGCTTACAGTGACTGAGGGAGAACATAATAGATGATAAATTCTGATGGACATTTGGGAAACTTGAGAAGTTGCTTTTAAACCTAAGAACTCAAAAGTGGCCTTTCATTTACACTATTTATGATACATGTTTATCGCAAATTTCGGACATGCATATTAGTTTAAAAACTAGGTCGTGGAGGGCAGGCAGATTACATAAATGTATCTAGAATAAGGCGTGGACAGAAAGAAGAGAAGCCGTTATGCCTGGTTCTGTGTTTTACCCTCAATGGGATTATCATTCCACACCTTGATACTTGTATTGTCGAGACTTTTCTGTCTTCACTATTCACATGGATAAACTGTCAGTAGAAACCACTGGAGACCAACAAGTCTCCAGCAATCTTGACAACAGCTTTGTAGCCTGCCTAGATAATATTGATGGCATTGCCTACAAGCAGTTAAAAGTTTCCTACAAGCCAGCAACAGTGTAGAACAATGGAAATGAGCGTACATAATCACACACCTCCTCGGCCTGGAAACCAGAGCTCCAATTTTTCACTCCAATAAGAGTCATAGCCTTCATTTCATTTTGTGTCTTATTTCAAAGTCCAACAGAAACATGTACAAGGTCCGATTTCTAAGGAACCTGGGCCAGACTAGTGATCAGAACTTCAGTTTTGGGGGCAGTTCTCAACATTTATCAATACTGATTGCTAACTTAAGGCACTTTCCTCCCGCCGTTCTCTAGTTTAGTCCTGTTCTCTAGCAAAGACCATGCATTCTGAATAAAATCCATTCCTTTTAGGAAACAGCACTGTATCTGCTCTTCCAAGAGAAACTTGAAAAGCAATCAACTGGAGGTCAGTTATACGTATAAGGAGCACCACAGTGCAAGGTCCAGATCTGTGGAAGCCAATAAAAAGGGTAATGGTAATGATTTTCTTCATTACAGGTATTTATTTAATCTGTACAAACTAGGCACAATGCCAGGGGCTGACATTTAAAACACTACGGTTGGTGCCTTAGAAGGACTCACAATATAAAGCAAATAGCACAACACAGGCAGATGTGACTGTTCAAGATGATACATTAAGTCTGGAATTCAGAGCCCTGACAGATGCTGTAGAAGGAGGAAATCCCTGCATTTTCTATATAGAGAAGTGCAATTCTGAGACCTGTAATGAGATGTAGGTCCCTAAAGAAGTGACTGGGCTGAGCAAGCTGCTGCCTCGGGATGAGCTGGCCCTGATGTAGGATGCTGCTCGCCAGGTTGGGGGCCCCCTGGGCAGAGGTGACCATAGAGGTGGACAAGCTGGCTGGGGAAGGACCAGAAGACTGCTGCTTCAGCAGTAGCAACGCTGCTTGAGCACGTCCCATGTGCGAAGCATTGCTCTTTTCGCAGACCGGAACACCTGGTCCCAGCCCCCAACCTTGCTCGTCTGTGGCCCTGAGTGCACCCCTATCCTAAGCACAAATTCAGGTGTGTTGATAATTCCTGTGGCTTCTTTGGACAAACTTTGTGTACCTCTAGGGACTTGATGGGCTTCTCAAGAAGCAAGTTTTGGTGGGGACCCAGGTAGCATCCCCTTGAAGCACCCATTTTAGTTTTGTTCTGAGCCTTTTTAAGAAGAGAGACACCCTGG